GCTGGATTACTATAGATTTGTAATGTGCTAAGTTTAATGTTAACTTGATGAGGCTAGTAAAAAATTGAACGAGCATTCAGAATTCAAATTTCAGAATAATAAAAAGTGTGTCACAAGAGATATATGAAGTTAAAATCTAAACAATGATTTGAGATGGAAGCTCACTCTATTTCCATCGGAGGGAGATCAAAACTCAATTTAGACTTTCCTATATAATTTTTCGATCAGTTTTGGAGGACCCTCAGAGATGTGGTGTTATTTTTTTTTTTTTTTGTGAATATTAGGAAAATACAATGATTAACAAATAAAAAAACAATTTAAATATTTTTTCGTTTTTCAAATGTCTTTTTCTTCATATCTTTATTGTAGCTAGCAATTTGATCCCGCAAACGTAAACTAACAGTGTGATCTTGTTGAGTTTCAAATGGAATAAACGTATCGTCAAATAGTATACGGAATACTACAGCATTATCGTAACAAGCTTAGACTACCAATTTGATCAGATTAAGTTTCAAAAGAAAAACGTAGTAATCCAACTTCTTATTAACACACAACTTATGGTTTTTGCTACTTTTAGTTAGTGACATTATTGATATGCAATTTGAGTTTTTCACCTTTAGTGGTTCAATTATGATCTGAATGACACTTTTGATACATATCTTTGAAGTTTTCATAATTTTTTTGAGGGAATGAAGTTTTCATATTTAGTCCTTTAAACCTTCTTAAAGGTGACATATTTGATCATTCAATTATCATCATATTGACATTTTTAATTCTCCACTTATTCATAAAAATGTTGATTGACAATACTCAAAGGCTAAATGTGCACAAGTTTGAAGTAAAAGACTAAATGTATCTCTCGCACAATAAACAAAGGATCAAAAATGAAAAATAAAAAGTCAAGTATAAAAATATCACATACATAAAATTTAGAAATTAAAAGTGACAAAACTCTAACAACCCATAATAATGAGTTACTGTTTAAGTTTCTCAATTCTCATAACGTACCAAGGAGCTATTTAGCAACACGTTCATCCGATAAAGTGATAAACAAAAATGGGTAATGCCCTTCTTCGTATGTACACCCCATTTCTTTGCACATTGTTGGGGTAAATCACATAGGGGATGATAATTTGAGTACTTGGATATCTTAAGGATCATGTAAGTTCACTTTCCGAATTGATATTTCTCCCCCATGTCTGGGTTACAAGAAATTCAATCTAGGATAATCTTTAAGGACACTCTAGAACTTAGGCACAAGAACTAGAGCCAAACTAGTCGAGTATATGGATTGTTATCTTTAATTTGAGTGCCAAAGTGATGAAGATATGTTGGATATGTTTCCTCTCCCTCCTCTGTACGAAATATGGTGGTATATATCCATATTCATCGTCCTAGGCAGTTGTAACACGATTAAGAATAACCGCAGCAGTTTTTGGGAAACTGCTGGAAACTGCCTAACCATTCTAGAACTCGGTCTAGAACCACAGAGCTGGTCTACTGAAAGTTATACTTCGAGTTCTACCTCGAGTTCCACTAACGTAGACACTTTGGAACTAAACTAGTTCTTATATACAAGTGTGCACTCCACACCTACTAACTTGTATTAGATCATAGTTCTAATTCCCATTGGCACTCATGTCATTTCCAATTACACAAAACGGCCGGTGACAATAAAATCACCAACACACATTTGATGCAATGTGAGAGGTCTCTAAAATTCTAAATATTACGATAGTATGTTCTTCCTAAAAGTGTTGTCGCATATAGGGTCATCTTTTAAATTCGGTAAACTATCACTCTTATCAATTATCAATCTGAGACATTATAAAATTTATTTTCTTTTCCAACTAAACATAACACACTTTGACATGCCTGTTAACACACGGGGTTCCATCCTAAAAGGTCAACCTGATAGGAGGAGTAGCTCATGTGTTAATATAGCATTTTGTTCATCCAAACTTTTCCGGTGTGGGACATTTAACACCCCTCCTCACGACCAGACACTTCGTCTGGATCGTGCCTTCATTCATTTTTTCATTGGTCCGTTTTTTTATCCGGTCGTAATTGTCATTTTTTATAATCATGTCATCACGATTCATAAGGGGCCCCACACCATGGATCGATTTGTCTCTAATACCAAGTTAAGACACGGGGTTCCATCTTAAAAGGTCAACCTGATAGGAGGAGTAGCTCATATGTTAATATAGAATTTTGTTCGTCCAAACTTTTCCGGTGTGGGATATTTAACAATGTCTGAATCATTTTTGCAAAAATTCTTGAAATATGAGTACAAATGTTTAAAAATTCCAAAATAAGACTCATGTATTCATTACCTAAATAGAAGCAATTCTTTCAAAACATGACAACAATTTCTCTTATTTCGGGAATAAAAATATAACAATCATATTTTGGAATTTGATAACATTTTGCAATTTCCCATCATTTTTAGGGAAACTTACATAAAATTTCATGCCCTTTGTTGTAATGTAATTCTTTATAGGGAAAAATAGATTATACGAAGTATATAAAACATGACTTTTGTAATAGGACCAAAGGAGAGTATTTGTCGAAGAGTAGCATTGGATGCATCATCATGCAAGTCTTATAACGTCTTAATCAAGCTAGGTTGTAAAAAACCTCTTTTCAAGCTAAAGTATTTGCTGAAATATACACATGTTTAATGGGGTGGTTTAATCAAGCTAGGTTGTAGAAAACCTCTTTTCTTTTAGCCTTTTGCTTTCTCTGGAATTCTGATATCACATTTGTGGTTGATCATAATCCATTTTCTTATTGTATATACCTTATTCATGTTACGTTGTTATGTATTTAGTAGACTGTTCGTCCTCTGTTATTATCCCATTGTGGTTTACGATGCTTAACTGACGATAAAGCAAATAGATCCTTGTCTGCACTCAAATTATTTTTAGGGGAAAAAATACATATTCATAAACTACATTAAAATATTTATAAAGTCGCAAAATCAGAATTTATCATTATAAAAATTTGATAAACATAAAGTAAGTGATTAAAGCCTTGTTTGGTTCAAAGGAGGGGAAAGAAGGAGAGAGTCAAGGAGGGAAGGGAAGGGAAGGGGAAGGAAGGATTGTGATAAACTTTGTGTTTGGTTGGAGGAAATAGGAGGAAAAGTTTAATGAAAATATTTTCCCAATTTACCTTTATTTGATAGTTTACTTAAAAAAATAGATTCATCTCTAACTATTGTGAATATTACTCCTATGATCATGAGTCATAATATTTATTTTGATTTTTTTACTATTTTAATTTTATTATTTTATAATTTTTAATTTTTAATTTTTTACTTTTTAATTTTTTAATTCTTTTTTAATTTTTTAATTTTCAATTTTTAAGTTTTTAAATTTTTAAGTTTTTTGATTTTTTAATTTTTAAATTTTTCATTTTTATTTTTATTTTTAAATTTTTCAAATCCTTTTATTTTCTACCCTTTTTATATTATAACGTTTTGTCCATTCAGGTAGGAGATGGATAGTTTGTGGTTATCAACATGTTTCCTTCGAAATACCCTGATTTGGAGGGTTTAGAATGGGAGGAAGTAGAGGATTTTGGAAGTCTTCCACTTTCCTTCCCTTCCCTCCCATTTCCTTCAACCAAACACACACAAAACCCTTACTTCCCTCCCCTCCCCTCCGAAACCCTCCAACCAAACATGACCTAATAATGATTTGTGTTGACCAAATGAATATGAAATGAAACAATAACAGGGCACGGAGGGAGTAAGTCTTAAGATATGATATCTCGTAAAGCCAACCACACATCTTTTACTTTGAGCAAAACTTACATATTTATTGTTGCTTATTTATTTTCATACACAGAGAATGTGTTAGACATTTAGAGAATAATTGTAATGGAGAATTTTTGATGAAGTTGTATTCCACCCCAATTTGCAATTGAGACTATTCTGCTATTTCCAATTACGATGTTAATTATATAAGTTATTGGAGAATTTTTTTATGCTTAATGTAGACCTAAATTGTTTATTTTATATTTTAGGGACTAGATAAGCCATGATACTCTTTTTTAGTGTTCTTTATGTTTCGGTCCTTTAGTAGATCGTTATTTTTTGTTGCGGTTATTTCAGTCGGATATTGTTTTGCTCGTGCTTTTTCTTGCTTTCAAAATTATGATGTAGATTGGGGTGGATGATGAAAAATCTAATTCGATCACTTTTGGCTCATTTGTGTATGTTGTGGGATTGACGAGTTATATTACATTTTGGAAGGTGATTAACTCTAAGATCCCGTTTGGTACTTCACACATTAAAATTTTACATGTAAAATGTTTGCGTGCGCAGTGTAGGGCTGTAATTAATTTACATGTAAAATGATTGCGTGCGAAGTGTAGGGCTGTAATTAATTTACATGTAAACTAATAATACATCGTTTGACTATCGATGGAATCTATTACAACGCAAACTCTATACTACACTATAATATGTATAGGGTGGTGGATATTCTAGTTAGGCCATAGAAAGGCATAGGGTTGACTGGTTGGTCAAATGAAACCCAATTACCGGTATCGATAATTTACTGGGTAATAACCCAAAATGAATTACGGGGACTTCTAAATAAAGTTGGGGAATGTACGTATATTCATTCTAAAGGCCCGTAGTGATTTGGAACATGTGATATATTTTATTTGGCCCTACAAAATAAAATAGAATTAAAACAGTCTGAGAATTACAACTTTTGTTGCCGATTGTACAGTTCGGGGCTTAAAGGGATGACCTCCCACATGTATGGGGTCACCCCATAATTTTGGTCACACAAATCAAGGAGTTATGAGGATGGTGTGATAGAGGAGCATGAGAGAGGGGTGTGGAGTGAAGGAAAAGGCATCAAATAAAACATGGTGGACCTCCGCCCCACACCACTTTTGCTATTGGGACATAAAGGAACACCCACCCTCCTTTTTGTTAATATCTCTAACACTTTCCCTTGATCATTTCGGCCAACCCACACCAATCAACAGCAATAAACTCTCCATCCATCATCTCCATTTTTGAAGGGAGCGCAAACAAGCAAGAAGCTCAAGGAAGAAGAAAGAGTTGCACAAATAGAGAAAAACCTTGGGAATAAAGGTGAGAAGCTCTTTAGTGTCTTTTCTTCCATCTTTTTATTATCATATGACTTATATATCATATGAATGATCCCTAGAATTGTTCTACATGTTTAGAAGTGTAACATGTGGGGTTGGATGGTAGTCCTAAGTCCAAGAATGGACTTAGAAGCCAAAGTGATCGATTTGCCGGAAAATAACCTTTTAGAGGTTATTTATGTTGATATGAGATTTGTGATATTAAAACCATGTTAGGAACTTGTCTAAGGAGTTTCTAGTGCTTTCACGAAGTTGAAAGAGTCACCGGAATTGTCGCCGGAGTTCAACGAAAATTCGCCGGAGTTCAACCTAGGAGGGTGTAACTTCATAAAGCTCATTCGAGGTGAGTGGATGACTTAATGTCTTGTAAATTTTGAAATAAGTATGAGATTACCTAAATAAATGCTATACGTGTTCATAATGATGTTTAAAAGAGTTTAAGAATGTGTTTAGCCAAGATGATTAGGCTTATATGAAATGAACTACAAAGATGTGCATGAAAATGATTAGAAAATGTTATAAGAACATATGTGATATTTTGAATGGCCAAAATGGAAAACATGATGGTTTAAGACTTAATACAAGTTTTGATTAAGTTTCGAATTAGTCGGAGTCGATTCGGGCGGTCAACGGCCCGTTGACTGCGAATAATACACTGAACCGGCGCTGGTTTAGGCTATAATCGGCGTCGGTTTGAGTACGGCTCTCCCAATTTATTAAAATAAATGGTGAACCAGCGCTGATCAGGGCTGAACCGGCGCCGATTTGGTGCTGTTTTACCCACATGTTGACTTATGTGCATGGTTTTGAATGTGATGTTATGTTTAGGCAATAAGACTTGGTTTAGTCTTGATTATTGATTATGATGTAGACCATAATCGAGTAAGGTGCATGGTAGATCATGGGTTCGGGTGGAGTACCCAAGGGTCGGACGGCGCCTCAAAACTCATATATATGGGTGGAGTACTCAAGGACCAGACGGTGTCCTCAAAACTCGGAATATAATAGCGCGAAGAACCCAAGGATCGGGCTGTATCCTCAAAACTTACGTATTCGGGTGGAGTACCCAAGACCCGGGTGGTGCCCTCAAACGGTTCGGGCTTGGGCCCAACAAAACAGACCCGAGGCCCGGCCGGGCCCAGGCCTGAACCGGCCCGAGGCCATCCCTAGTATGGACTATGTTCATGGACGCCTTGTATGATTAATTGATGGTGACTTGCGAGTGATGTTACTTGATCATACGGCAGTTGTACACGCGCTTAGATGCGGTTTGGGACGTGACAAAAAAACCTAGTGAGAATCTTTTATTTGCAATCAGGAGTTTGTTTGATAGTTTATAGTAGCCCGTAATTTCAGCTTAGCATGCTTATCATCAATTTTTATATGAAATACTAGCGTTTGATCGCGCAAGGCGCGAGAGCTTTTGCCCAATGTCATTTTTGTAGATAATTATTATGTGTGTTTTTATGAGAATCTTTAAATAGTGTGCAAAATTGTCCTATTTTTTGTAAATAATCAGATGAATTATATTTTTAGTCTTCCAACTATAATGTGGGAAATAGCCTATTTTTTTTTTTTTGAAACTGATTGTTTTTATAAATTGAGCTGGTAGAAGTATATATAGGTGTTTGGTAAGTTTCAAATTTAAAAAAAAAAAAAAAAATTCTGACCGAGTGTTCTACAAGCTAAGAGCGGGAAAATCTTTTTCTCCTACGTTGGGCTAATCAATCTCCTGTTGGGTTAGACACATGCCTTACTCGAGTAAATGAAGTCAACACGAATGCTTCTTTACTTGAAGGGTTAAAATATAAACGCGTGAAACCTATATAAATATTATTTAAGCCTCAAGAAAAAAAACTACTTTAACTTACATATCCATAAGAACGCAAGAAGAGTATTCACTATTTTACCTTGGTAAATAATTACAAGAGAAGTTACACTCACACACATCCCATGGATCTTCCTCTTCTCATTCATTTTTTCCTTCAAGTCTTGAACCAAAAGAGAGAGTTCAAAAGAACAAGTTACATACAGAGCCCATTTATACATGGCGGTACTGCATTTATAGAAAAATAAAAACTTATTTGTGAACCTGAAGCTGAAGAATCTTTGTTTTATATCAAACAAGTATGTTTGCATAAATACGATTCTATGCGCGTGTTGAAAAAAATGAATAGTTTCTGTTAAATTAATAAACAATCAGACAAGTCCAGTTTGGATTACTTTTGGAAAAAATAAAAGTTTGCATTTAAAATATCAAAAGCAGAATGTTGTTCAATTTATTTTAACTGACGTAATTAGTTTTTAGGGAAAAGGGGCAAATAAGCCCCCGAACTAATAAAAAAAGTGCAAATAAGCCCTTTTGTAGGAGGTTCTGATTGATCATCGTCATTTGGGGAGGTTCTCGGTGGAATTTTTTGATGAATTTTTTTGAGCATCTTCTTCATCAAGTCTAGTTTAGCCATACCAAATTTCAGCTAAAAATTAAACCGGGAAGGCACTCAAATGATTTTCGAAAATATACTGTGTTGTTTAACTGCGCAGTTATCTTCAAAAATTCATTTGACTGTCTTCCCGATTGAATTTTTAGCTGAAATTCGGTATGACTAAACTAGACTTAATGAATAAGATGCTCAAGAATTTTCATCAAGAAATTCCACCGGGAACCTCCCCAAATTACGATGGCCAGACGGAACCTCCTATAAAAGGGCTTATTTGCACCTTTTTTATTAGTTTGAGGGCTTATTTGCCCCTTTTCCCTAGTTTTTATTTTATGGGGTTAAAAGCATTTTTTGCAAAATAAAAAATGGTACCAGAATGATGGCTTTGCTTTTATAAACATAGTTGAAATACTTTGAAAAGTGATTTCTATAAGTTATCCCAAGAGGGCATAGTGTGCCCCTCTATTTTGCTTGGGCCCTCATTATTTGAAAGAAAATGTAGAAGGGTATTAAGTGTGTAAGAAACAATTCATAGTAGAATCCAACTAAATACACCTGAAAATGATCACCCATTATATTCTCCCTTTATTCAGAAAATAGAGGTGCCCTGATCCTGGAAGTCATCATTGAATAATCTCTTAAGCAGATTCCGAGTTTATAGTCCTCATTGAACCACTACACTCATTGATTTGTGCATACTTGTGACTCAAAGAGAATGGTAAAGAACTTTCTAATACAATAATGTGAATTATATTTTCCTTTGGAATAGAAAATATACTCCAATACATATTTACTTCAGCAAGTATGCTCTGCTCCCTATTTTGAGACAGAGAGTGATATCTTTTTTTAATGCTTCGAGTTCAGCCATCAAGTTTGTGAAAGATTACTTCAATATGGATTGCCTTATTTCAGTTTTAAAATAATTGATAATTATTCGAGTCTGAAAGGTTCGGGTTTGTCTTCACTTAGCCATGAAATGGTTTCGTGCACGTCATCTTCTTCTAATACAATGAGAAACGTTTGTGGTTACTAATATTTTATTTGGCCTGCTTCCTATAGATTGATATCATGCTAAATTTTTATACTTTTGGGATAACAAGGATGGGAAAAATAAAACCAAAGCCACCATGCTTGGAAAATACAAACTGTTGTTTAAATTTCAGATCTAAATAAAGTCAAAAAGCGTACTCCACAGCCCATATAAGTATATAACTCTAAGCTTTCATTATTTTGATTCAAATGAAAGACAACTTCGTATTGTACAGCAACCAATTAACCGTTGTTGTAATCATAATGTTACTACGTTAATTAACAAACATTAATTAACCATCAAAATATCAAAATCAGAAATGAAAAAAATCAGGCTTGGGCTTCTTTTTGGCCAGAAAGAGAGACTAACAGGCTATTGGCTATTTACACCCACATAGATAAACGAGGCAAACGGCTCTATTGCAATTAAGCACAAACCAAATACAATGACAAGATAGTAAAAAACTTACAAGACTAAGCCAGGAAAAAAAACCTCGAATGTGATCAGCTAAGGCGCAAATTATTTATACCCACACGCACAACCCTTGAATTTTCAATGGTCGTGTGGCAGCAAACCTGAGCGGAATAGAAGACCAACAGACCTTTCAGAGCAAGGCAGAGGGCGTGGGAGAACCGCGATAAGTAAAGCTAAAATAGATGAATGACCCAGTCAAGCTCCGAGGCTGATCTTTTCCTTTCCCCGTTTATTAGGTCTCCCCAAGAACGAAACAGTCAGCAGATGCCGCTTATGTCTGAGTTAACGGAGGAAGTTAAAACTCACGGTGAGTAAGGGTAAAGAAGGCAACTGAAAAATAGGTTCTACTTTCTAAGACCTTATGCACCCAATGTGTTTGACACAAATCAAGGGTACCAACCCTCATTCCTAATTATAATGTTGTTAGATTAAGCTTTTGATTTCATTCTTTGAATTGTGAAATAATTAAAAGAAATAAGAGTGAAGTTAATTTTTTGACTGAATTGATTAATTTTATTACTAGGGATTATTTTAGTTCTTTTCTTATAATCTTGCATTACATTATTAAAAAAATATATTTTAATATTTTTCCATATTTCAGCAGATTTAGTTAACCCCGCCACTTGACTTAGAGTTTGAAGATATTCATCCAATCCAGTCAACTTCAATGTTATAAATTTGGACCAAAGTATCTTAATTTTATATCTAACACTCTTCACATGATAGAAAATAATTGAAATAATGATATACCCCCTCGGTGCCTTACAACCTTGTTATCTTTTCTCCCCCCCCCCCCCCCCCCCGAAAATTATGTCACTTTTTAAGTAGTTAATTTATAGTTCTTATTATTTCTCTCGCATCTACACAAACTCCAACCAAACTGTTTTTACTTTATTATTTCATGTGTCGATCAAGCTTGTCAAAATTATTGGACAAGGAGGAAGTATACGAGTCTTAATTTTAATTTTTATTACATACGTAGTAATAGATAGTAAGTCTCTAACAACACGATGATGAAACCCAAGGTCCAATAGGCATTTTATCTTCCTTCTGATATTAAGCCCATCCCTCGATACCCAAATTCCTCTGCCGCTGTGGTGAACAAATCTTCATCGAAAATAGATGAAATACGTTATTGGGGGGTCTGAGTGCATGGAGAACAATTACGAAGTCTTTCCACTTTGAGAGGAAGAAGGGGAGGAGGTCAACTCAAAAACGGCTCCATGGTATCCATATCCATATGACCATGTTTTCAATCCTTGTCACGAGCAGACGTGTATGCCTTATGTCGTTGATTCCTCTTAGGGGAGGCTTCCAATCTCACATGTTTTGCGTATTGTGATATCATTTGTATGCCTTACGTCGCTAATTTGAAACAATGACTGTAATGATTGACTATGTTGACTGAATGTGTGTTTCATTCCTATGTGTGCCTCATTATTATGTGTGTTTGTTGACTCGTGATGATGGGGCTTGCATGAACTAAACATATTGATGATCATTTAATGATTTGTGGAAAGTCGCTTGATAAATGTTTGTGTTGATTTGTGAGGACATTACTACTGGTCCAGAGAGCATCTAGAAGTGTTACAAGTGGTATCAGAGCAACTCTACGACACTTTGTTAATTCATTAGATATTGGGCGGACACTTAACAAAAGAGAATCAGGGGATTTGATTGATATTGGTTTATGGGTGCAACGAGGACGTTGCCTTCCTAAGTTGGGCTAATTATAATACTCGAGATTAATTTAAAAGGATTAATAATACTACTCATATCAACAAGGTGCATATCCTTTTAAGGAGCTCATATGCTAATAATTCTAAGTAAACTGTGCTTGCACGGGAGAAGGCTTGGGAAGGGTGACCTCTGGAACATACCTAGATCAGAGAACTAATAAAATTATTTTTAGCGTTATGGAGTATTAAAACAAAGTATTATCTCCAGCCGAGAATAAGGTTCTCACACACTATTTAAGTAGCCAACTTAACTTGCATATACAAGTAAGCTTTAATATCACAGGTCAACAATAGCATAATGGAGCATTAATACTAGTCTAGATCATGAAATAACACAAAACATATTTGTATCTCTACACTTCAAAACCAATTCGGAAAAAGACTATCCCAACCCCAGGTCCTGTTCCCGCTCCCGCCTTTCCCATTACCGTTTCCAGTGCTCCCATTACCGTTTCCACTTTCCAGTGCTCCCATTATCGTTTCTTGGAACCTTGCTCCCATTACCGTTGTTCCATTTCCCTCCATCCTCAGGAGGTCATGATTAGCATCGACTTCAACCCTATTGTTAGCTCTACCGCCAGGGGCACGAGTGGCACCAAACCTTCCCTCGTGTATTTTGCTTTACATTTGTTCTACAAGCCTTGTGAGCCTATCCATTTTATGATGCATCTCCGCCCAGTGCTCATCCTCTTTCTGGTTGTTTTGACGGTAGTGTTTAGGGTTCCAGTGAGAGCACCGATCTGATTGAGCTTTTCCACACCTCCTTAACGGAACTGATTGAGATTTTCCACACCTCCTCGATCTA